GTCATCGGTCTCAGATTCGTTTATCTGTTATTTACAGTTGTTTCCTTTATTATTCTCCTCAATTTTTCTTCATCTTCTTCTTAGAGCTTCTAGAATCATTTTTTTCTACACACTGAAATAAAATAATTCAATTTTAATAAAAATCCAAATTAATACTGATGCATGCTAAATAACCATATCATAAAGTATTATAACTTTTTTGGCCAAAGCAATATGGAAGTCGTCTAAAACAAGATAAGAAATGGTCAATGCATGTAGAACAAAACTTCAGATTAAATTTCAAGCAACCACCTAGGCCTTTCGTAGAGCTGTAAACCTATATCAATATTTCAATTCATTGAAGAAAAATGAGAGAGGAGGCATAACATGAATACTGAAAAGTGTGAGAGAGGCAACTGAAAAGACAAGAATACAATATAAAAGATGGGGTGTTGCAAAAATATAACAAATATTGTAATACAATGGTTTAGCAGAGCATTGATAGAGAGAGATAGAAAAAGAAAGACTTCTTCTAAAGGTTTATAAAGAGTGATAATATCACAACAAAGATCCCATTTTTTGGAGAAGCTAATTTCTCTATTACTCATCGAAAGTGCTCAAGAAACCACCAAGGAAACCAGCTCCATTGCAATCCCCACACAAGACCTCCTTTTTACCTCTGCCAACAAAAAAGCAAACAAGATATTACATAATGTTAGCTTGTTTGTTATGGACATAAGAAGAAAGGTTTTCGAAATATGTTGCAAACCTGCAAAGCCAACAGAGCCCACCAGCTTTAAACTGCCCATTAAAATGATCAATCAAATTCACACCACCTCCTTTGCATTGAGAACATGCTACAGCACCTTTACACATACAAAATCTTTGTCAAGTCAAGGTTACTAAACAAATTCAGTTTTGTAGAAACTAAGAGATTATTTACCATTCCCTTCACAGTTTTGACAAACTATGCTGTTTGTTTTAGTGGTCGGAGTGCCGTTTGTGGCCTATTAATCACCAAAAGATGAGGTTTTTAGGAAATGAAATGGTAAATGAAGTAAGAGAGGAAGGAACAGAGTCTAACCTGAATCTCGAAACTTTTGGATTTGGAAGTCTGAAACACTTGTCTCTTCTGGGCCAACGACGAGTTCTTATCACCTGTTGAGAAGATGAGAGTAGGTTTAGGGTTTTTTCTGGGAGATTGGGAGCAATACGTAGGAGGAGAAGAGAAGAAGCATATTGAATTCGCCA